ATGTGCGTTGAATTAACGAATAGGTAAACTTTATACAAAAACACCAAACACATGGGATGAATGATTATTCTTCTTCTTTTCAAAAGTTGTTAATCTATCTTTCAATCGTTCAATCAATCAATCAATCAATCAAAATAATTGTAATTTACTTAAAAATATATAACAAATTGATTATTCTAGACATCAAGATCAAAACCCTCAAAAGAAATATTTCTATAAAGGGAAGTATACACATTAGGGCAACTTCCTTTTGAATCGGACCGAGCCGAAGAATAAAATTCCTTGCTAATTTGATACATTTTTTTTTTATAAAATCATTCTCAACCGGAACAATATAAATATCAAACTGAATCCGACAAGTATCGAATCAAAATCAAATCGGAATTATCCACTAATATATATGTAAATATTATGGTTTTATTTTGCATTCATATAACGATATAAATTCCAAATCGAAACGATACTAAAATCGAACCGTTTAACATTTAATTCTAGTTTGGTATAATTTTTGTAAAACCGAAAATACTGTTTCCAAACCGAATCGTTTGAATATCAAAACGTCAATCCGTAAATTTAATGTGATTAGGAGAATTGCGACGATTTGCAAGCCGAGGGGGTGAAAAATTAAAGCCGGGTTTTGCACAACAATATGACGATGGCTAAGGTTAATAAGTCACGTTTATTCCGTTTAGTATCCGATGTACCATATAAGTTGAAAATATTTTTGGTGTGTCAAGACAAAGATATACGGGTCGTATATATGTACGGATTCTATATGTATCTCCATTTGCTATAAGAAACCACTCAGAGACCATAAACCAAACCGAATACCAACAATTGATATTGTTGGTTGCCTTAAATAATAGCAAATTAAAAAAAAAAAGGTTGAGAAAATGAAAAGTGGAGGGTCGTGAAAAAGAGGAACAAATTACAAGATCTGTGGGGATAATAATTTGCCCTTATTAGGGGAAAGGTTGAATAACGATCTAAGGGCACTCATGACCAGACACCCCTTCCTTCACAAAGGCCCCTCCTAGTTTTGCCCTTTCATTAGTCGGCAAGGCCCTGCATATACATATATAAACACACACACACACCCCCCCCCCCACCCCCCCCCCCCCCCTATAAGTACACCTTTCTCCTCTTGTTACATTGGCATTGCGTATGGTTGACAAAGTCTACTTTGATCCTACCGACTTCACACTAGTCGGAAAAACTCGCAAAGGCAAAGATAGATTTTAGATTTCTACTGCTTTTGGTTATAATTTTTAAATATCTATGACTGTTTAGTATAACTCTCCAGTTTCATTTGGATCTATTATTATGATCTTTACTATTTGTACTTAGGAATGATGCGTCTTCCCTATTGTAAAACATTTATATTTATACGATTTATCGTTAACAAAAAAAAATGATCCTAGGATTTTCTTTCTTTATACGAGATTATTTGACGAGTAGAGGAGGAGGTGATGGTCGATCTTTTTAGCTTTCCGACCCATAAAATTTACCATAAAAGTCAAATGTAATATATATGTATGCACATATATATATATGTACATATAGTAGGTGTATATACATATATATATATATATATAGTTAAATTGATAAAAGCATGCATGCAAACAAAAGGTGGAAAGAAAGATGGCCTCTTGAAAGAAGAAAGGTTCTTACAAATTTACAATATGGAGGAGAAAAGACGAGCCACGTTTAAAGCAAAGAACCGTACCCTACGCCAACCCAACAAAAACAAAAAAAGGTGAAAACCCTAGAAAACATCACAAGCAAACAAATTAACGTAATTTCTGAAAGATTTAGAAAGCAACAGAATATCCAAACAGTGAGCGAACTATACACATATAGTTATATATATATATATATATATCATATGTATGAGTACTCGATTGACTAACAATGGAAATATTCAGGGGCGCGGACCCATGACCACGAGAATGGGGTCCTTTGCCCCCATTGCTTTAGTTAAAAAAATTTAATTTTCCTTATAAACCATATAAAATTTTATATAAAATTTTAAATTCCCCCATATAAAAAAAACCTAAAATTATGTTTGCCCCAGTTATAGTTTTTTCTAGGTCCACCACGGGAAATATTGATCCTTGTACGTTCTACAGATTTCTACTATGTTACCCTTGAAAGACGTGACCACGATATATATATATATATATATATCAGTCAGTGTACGGGATCAGAATATTATATATATATATATATGTGTGTGTGTGTGTGTGTGTAATAGGAAACCAATTCGGATATTAATGGAAGGTAAAGGAAGAGCCTACGGAGGTCTACAAGGCAATAATAGCGAGAGGAGAAAAAACGAGGCAAAATTATATTCTCAAGCAGTCAATTTCATGATTGAGGAAAAAAAAAATAATTGGTGTGTTAATGTGTGTACACATACCACATGACATGCTCTCTCTCTATCTACGTGTGTGTGTGTGTATATATATATATCGTATTAAACAATATATGAAATTGAAAAATGGATAGGAGGAAAATATTAGATGTCATCATTGATGACACACCATTTGCAATGATTCGATATCTAAGACTAAATGAAGTTTGAATATATCTCGTTGTAATAAATTGCAGAAATAATGAAAAATTATTTTGAGTTGAGGGATGAAATCACTTACAAAGTCTAACGCTCAACATAGATATGACCTAATTCGGAATCTTATTACAGGAAAAGCTCCCATTAATTATTTCTTTCCATCATTTTCCTAAAATTAGATTAACGGAAAAGTCATGTAATTGTATGAAAATATACCTAATTAACCTATCACATAACATAACCCAAAAAATAATTCTTTACATGAAACACAGCTAAACTATATCACATATTATATTGATTAATTTCGGATTCGAATTGATTACGTGAATCCTATTTTTAAAGGGAAATACCACTAGTTTTCGGAGAAAATAAACCACTAATTTCTGAAATATTTGAAGTACGTGCTTAGTATATAGTACCAAGCCAAATATTAAACTAAAAAACTCACCAAAAATAGAAAAAGCAAGTATGAATCTTTTTTATTTTCATCAAAAATAAAATGATAATTGAATTTTCTCATGCAGTAGGAACATCGTGGGGCCCACGGAATAGGTGATCTGTCCTTCTCCCACATATGACGTAGATATCACTCCCTAAATCATGGCGACTCAGAATTTCGATCACTTGTACTTTTTTTTAATTATTATTTTTATTTATTTCAGATCATGAAATATACACTTGTAATAAATACAACCTGTGGCAAATTGACTGTACTAGTAATATAAAATAATAGAAATAAGATAATAAAAAAACTCTATGATATATGCAGCGTAAGCTATATAATATATTATTAAAAAGAATTTAAAATTGCCTTAGAAATTACCTAGATTCTCCAAACAACCAATGACTGACGGGTTTACTTAGGTTTGTCCCTACAAGTTTAGCAAAAGTCAGTTCAGTTTCATGTTTTGGTTGCAAAACTCAAAATTATAACCCAACTTTTACATCACTTAGTGATTCATAATTTCATATTATGCGTTAACCGTTTACATAATTTCCCAAAATTGGTATGTCCAAATTGGACATACATACATACATACATACATACATACATACATACATACATACATACATACATACATACATACATACATACATACATACATACATACATACATACATACATACATACATACATACATACATACATACATACATACATACATACATACATACATACATACATACATACATACATACATACATACATACATACATACATGATTGAACCAACGATTCATTGGGTATGAGGTATTTCTAATCAGCAAAAAAAAATCTCATTATTAATTTTGATTGTATTTGGAAATCATATGTTTCGTTTCCAAAAGTATAAATATTTCAGTTAGTGCTGAGTTTGCAAGACATCTGCGGACACAAAAATGCCCAATCAGCTTCTACAATATCCTATACTAGAAACTAATTAATCCCATTAAGTTTAAATAATTAGCGATATCCCCCTAATTAATGAGTCATTGAATCATTAATAAACCCTGGTTAGATTTGTAGTTAGTCATCATATATATATATATATATATGCCAATGATGAAAATTATGACTATAATATCGTTTAAGATCAATAGGATTCCTCTTGTATACAAATTTTGGTGATGTTACTTTTGTTCAATCTTTATCGAGGCATTTAGAGTATACAAATACGCATTATAAATATACACACACATATATATATATATAATTTTTTATGTATTACACTTTTAATCGAATCTCATAAAAGCCACCATATTATATTCATAGATATGTTTAAATTAACGAGGTATAACCTAGCTAAGATTTCCTGGATTCTATTCCATCAAAAAAATAAAATAAAATAAACAAAGAAGGAAAACCTAGTTTTCCTGACCAATAAGAGAGGCAAACCTTACCAACTATTTTCTTCACTAATTAAATAATAATAAATGATGATGGATTAAACGCAGGGTTTAATCGGGCACATTAATTAGGCTTGGTTTGGTTTTAACCGCAAGGTCTACATCCTCTATGTTGAAAATTATAGAAATTCACTACAGGTTTAATTTAATGCTAATAAGAGAAGGAAACATGTACTATACAATATTACATATCAATACATTTTGTTAGGAGATAAATTAAGTGAAACTTAAGATTATATTTCGGTTATTTTATTTAGGTCTTGGTGTATAAATTACGACTGGTGACAGAAAGTATACAAATAACTAAAATTTGATATCTATCAATATATATATATATGTATGTATGTATATGAAAATATTGAAATATTCGTATTTGGTATTGTAAAAAATTATAACCAGGTAACTGGAACTATATGAAACTGGGTTAGTGAAGCCTATGGCGACAATATACATGTATATCTGTGTATATATATATATATATATGAAATGGAATATTTAATCTATGTGGAAAAAAAGATTAAGGAAGAAAAGAGAAGGGCGAAGAAAGCAAGTTTGCATAGGCCCCATGACAGTCCGCTCTCTGGCATGAATTCCATCCTCTCCTTTTCTCTGTATATCTCTCCAAAATTGTACTATTTCGTTCACCTCTCATAAAAAATCACTCAACCTCCATTCCTTTCTTGATTAAGCAAAACCCTCCACCAGCAAAAATTAAAGCCCTTTTCTTGATCCAAGAAAGAACGACCCGATCATCAGCATCATTGGATGTCATCATCGGGAGAGAGAGGAAAGAGCTTGATGGAACCATCAGGGTCAGGAGAGCAGCAGCAGCCAGCGACTCCGAGCCGGTACGAGTCGCAGAAGAGGCGTGACTGGAACACTTTCGGACAGTATCTCAAGAACCAGAGGCCGCCGATGCCATTGTCTCAATGCAGCTGCAGCCACGTGCTTGATTTCCTCAGGTACTTGGACCAGTTCGGGAAGACAAAGGTCCACGTCCCCGGCTGCATGTTCTACGGCCAGCCCGAGCCGCCGGCTCCATGCATCTGCCCTCTCAGGCAGGCCTGGGGGAGCCTCGACGCTCTCATCGGACGGCTCAGAGCCGCCTACGAGGAGAACGGTGGGCCCCCCGAGACGAACCCTTTCGCCAGCGGAGCCATCAGGGCTTACCTCAAGGAGGTCAGGGACTGTCAGGCCAAGGCGAGAGGCATTCCGTACAAGAAGAAGAAGAAGAAGAAGAAGCCGACGCACGACTCGTCTTCCTCCTCCTTCTCCTAGATTTGACGTCTCGTCGGATCTTGAATCTTTGCCGAGTTCTCTCCCCATGGTAATTATTTCTCTCCTTGGTTTGCATCTTCCGGACATATATATCTTTGGTATTGTTTGCCTAGTTTGATCAAGATTCTCTTGGATCTATGTATACATGTATATATGCGCACGCGCGTGTGTGTATATAGATATATATAGAAGATATATGTAGCAATGTGGTTCTTGATCCGATCTTGATTACTTATGAGACTTAGGTGATCACTACGAGCTTGGCAACAAATCATGCATATCGTAGAACATGGGCATGCATCAAACCCTAATTTGGATATAAGTAATTAATCAGCTACCTACGACACGAAATTTTTGTTGATTCTTTGATTAGAAATCTGAATACTTGGTCGGGGTTTAGCAAAGATTCGCTCAAGCATAGAGCTCTTGTGCTCTTTGAGAGGAACTAATCAATCAAGACTGATCATAACAAGATTGAAAAAACTTTGAATTGCGTCGTCATATATGTATATGTGGAATTAATTATATTAATAGATAAGAGATGGGATTAAATCTTCTTAATCTCGCATGCATATATGAACAGGCGATCGGACACACATTGACCACTGTTCTACACAGGTCTGTAATAATTGGCTCTTTGAATGCTTCGAGATTTCAATCATACATGATGTGGCTCTTTAAAGATTTTTGTAAGATTTTGTGCCCCCATTGATGATGGCTATCATGCAAAGGCATCCACCTCTTTCTTTTTTGCCAATTTCAATAAATATAGCCTAAAGAAAATGACAAATCATTGAAATCTGGTCTGATTAGTGATTAATCTAAGGTGATTAATTAAGGTTCTTTATAGGAACAGTAAAGCAATCTTTTAGTGTTTACATCTTTGAACCTTCATTTACTGTCCCTTCATATGTGTGTGTATATATATATATATATCTCAATTTTGCAAAATTCCACGAGATAGACACACAATATGGTGCTTGGGATCGAATCTGATGCAACCAAATTCAGTCCAAGACTATTCTCTTTTTGCCTTTTGTAGGAAAGAATAGATATATGATATTGAAATTCTCTACACTTTTTTTTTGGTTGAATGTGAATAAAAATTCTCTATAATTGGAATTAGTTTGAACATTTGAGTGTAACAGTAAGGGTACAAAAGATATCCCACATATGATAACTTCGAAACTATTCTTTTTTTTAGGCCCTTTTCTTATGCTTTTGATTTTGAGGATGCTGCATGCATGTATTCTGTATATAGAAGATACATGATGAGTGTTACCACACACACCCCCACATATATATATATATATATATATATACATACATATTCAAATGTTTATGGATTTTTAGGGTTCTTTCCCATCTCCTTGTAAAAGCATTCTCATTCAAAGCGCTTTACGACGACGATGTTAGCCAAGATGGCGCATGCCTGCGTATATATAGTGAGAGTTATGGTAGCGGTGTAAGTTTTCGTGCTCGTTATTTTCTCGAAAAGCTGGCCTTTCGATCTGTTTGGGGCGTTTAAATCCCATCTATATATCGGTATCTGTAAGTTTGATTAATTTTTACAGTATGATCGACTTCACGGATATGACCTAACCGGGATGACGATTTAGACCCTTACAATAACCATGTGATTCACATAACCGATGTTCGTACGGATTCCTTCTTGATGGTTTGTAGGATGAAAGATCTCTAAATGCGGATCAGGGCTATATATACATATTTTCTTTCTCGAATTTGGTTCGGTTCGATCTTATAAACATCAACCCCTAATGCTACGAGTAAAAATAACCGAAATGACGATTAAAATCTTTATAAGTGATAGATTTTGTTTGATACCTTTATAAAATATAAGTTAGTTTTATGGACTTATAATCAATAGTTTGGCTTAGCTCATTTCCTAACTAGGAATTTAATTAGCTAAGGTTTTGTGTGTTTTATGGAACAATATGTTATCTTAATATTATTGGTTGGTATTTTATTGTTAATCAACTATGTTATTTATGTATAATATGGACGAGATTTTTATTACTATTATTATTATGATTACATCATACGTCACAGATTAACATAACAAAAAGTAAGTTTAAGTATACTAATTATTAAATTTCTGACATAGTTTTTTTTTATGAGTGTTATTACTATTATTATTATGTTAACCCTTTTATATGCATGTTTCACATTTTGGGAATCGTCATAAATTATCTTACTGAATAAATATTGTAAATCCAGGTAAAATCTTTTATTTCTGAAATTTAATCTATAATATCTTTGTCATATCAAATTATTATTTTTTTGTAAGGTGAAAAGGTTGTGAGCGTAAAAGCTCCAATATGTGGGCTTTAATATAATGGGCTGAAAAAGCCCAATACATAATCTTCGTACCCAGCAATGACATCATCTGATCCGTACAGCAAATGTCAAGTGGCAATGTGCTTATGTGCCCCGTTAGCAACGATTTCTTCGTAAAAGTAGGGGTGGGCAATTCGGTTCGGGAATCTGGTCCCGAACCGTACCAAACCGATTAATTCGGTTTTGGTTTGGTTCGGTATTATATAAAAATACCGAACGGTACGAAATTTGAAATACCGATCGGTTCGAGAATGGTTCGGTTCGGTTCGAAAAATACCGAACGGTATTTCGGTATTTTTATTTTTTAATTAAAAAATATTAAATATTAATAGTTAATTATGATATTTACTAATATTAAGAGTTTGTTTGCGTAATGATTTGAGATTAATGTTGAATTTTTTCCAAATTTACAAGTTCAAAACTTTTATTTTGTTGTATAAAATTATTATGTTGGATATCTTTACTTTTATATTATATGAATTATAAATATGTCATAAACCGTCCAAAACCGTTCCGAACTGTTTTTATTTCAGTTCTTATTTGGTACTTATTTATTAGTATCATACCGTCCCAAACCGTTATAATACCGAACCGAACCGAACCGAACCGAACCGAACCGAATAATATACGGTACTAATTTGGTACAAATTTTATAATACCGAATAAACCGTTTCCGAATCGAACCGTTAAAATTCTGAACCGAATCTCGAAACGCACACCCCTACGTAAAAGTGTTACTTTTAAAGAACACGAAGAAGATGATAAGAGTACGGATCGATTAATTATCCAAAAGAATCAAGGTTGTCTTGATTTGTTTATACCGTTTTGGAAACCCGACAAAATATTTGGGTATTTGAATTTTCAAACTTCAAAATTTTATTGAAAACATAATTGTAATTTAGAAATACATAGTAATAATAATAATAATACAAAATTCACGATTTATTTTTATAGAGTTTGTTTTATAAACAAAACGAGAAAAGAAAAAGATATTTACTACAACCTAATTTTATATCTTTGAGCAAGGTTATCCATGCCTTTATATCACGTAACAACGTGAAAAAAAAATGAAAACTCATAAATATTCAGTACGATATTAAAGTTTAGTTTAAATAAATATTCAACTTACCTGTAACTTTATATAATTGTTGCGAATAACAAATACGATTCTAAAGAAGCTATCGATCCAACTGTTTTCATCATCCAACTTGTCCAACACTCTGACCAACATTCTAAACTCTCCTTTGGAATCAAAATCATTTCGATAAATTTATTCATTTTTTGAAAAAAAATAATTTTTATATATAATTCAATTCAAATACAATTATATATTATATATTCTGCCGGTTAACAATTATATTCTATTCAATGTAGATATGTAAAGTCAATAGTGTGTGGGATTAGTTTTGGTCAACATATTGTATGTATCTTTATCCAACTGTTTGGTATAATTTTCTTGACACCTTCTATTACAGATTTAAAGAATAATATATTATTTGTACACTTAAAATTAATAATAATTTTGTATGAATTAGATTGTACTGATTTGATATTTGAGAATAGAATTGTCGTTACTTAAAAAACGGTGAGATTTTTAGTTATCAATTTTCATATATGTAGTTTCGATGATTAAGGAAAGGTTTACATATATTACATGTCATCATTTTCTAAATTATATCAATATATGCACGTATATACATCATCCCATAATTTGTAATAAGAATGACCATTTTGGTTATTAACCGAATCAAATTAGGTATAATCATAACTAATTGTGTCAGATTCTTTGTCATGAACTAAAGTAATCGAGTTTGATTCTCGTTGTAGACAACTATTATGACATAAAAATCGAACGGTAATAAAAAAAATCGAAATCGAAATGATTAAAAAAATAACCGAAAAAATCGATAATTTCTTTGAAAAAATGAATATTTTACAACAAAAAACTGAATCTAAACCGAAAAATAATCGATCCAAACCAAAGTTTATTTAAAAATTAAAAGATTATAATTTTTCTATAACCGAAATAACCAAACCCGAATATAACCGAACCAAATTTAAAACGAAACCCAAAATGATCACTCTTGGTAGTAATTATAACACTTCACCATCACTACAAACAAACAGCTCTTCTCTCTAGATATATTGTACCGGTAATTAGACGTATAGAATGAATATTGAATGTGTCATTTACGTATGTGGCGCACACGTTACGACCAAGGGGGCATATATTTGACTTTAATTACATAGATACATTAACTTCCAACAAAATAAGAGGGCAAATTGAATGGATTGATTTGGCGTCAGATGTACAAAACCCTAGTTTTTTTTTTTAATTATGAATTATCATCTAAATTCTTTCAAATTCAATATATGGTATCACAACAAAAAATAGAATAAACCGATCCATAAACGAAACCATACCAATAACCAATCCAAACCATCGAAACATATTGGACCGAACCAGAAATCATACAAAACAGAAAACCGAAAACGGGATTCAAAAGTCAGACAATCGTAAATTCTAAGAAGAATATATATATGTATGTATGTATATATGGATTATTCAACCGATGTCAGATGGTGGGTCTGAATCTAAGAAATTTCGGCCAAAATCAAGAAATCGGCGAGGGTTTTTAATATACCCGGTCAATAAATTTCAAGTTGCACCACATACGTGGATATATATGTTATCCTAACTTTGGCGTTTATGACTGCACTAACCACAATATATATATATATATATATATATATGTATGTATGTGCCATAACCATAAGGTTCAAGTCATATAAGAAGAAGAAGAAGAAGAAGAAGAAGAAGAAGAAGAAGAAGAAGAAGAATTATTTCAATGGCGCGAGAACTTATTACAGGAGACTGGGAAACACATAATATGTCAGGTGGGATTTTATATGTTTGCATGATCCTAATGTCCCTTTCGATCTTCGCGATGGTCGTTTTCGCTTGCGGCGACGGAAACACCGGCGACACGAAAATAAGAAGATACGGCGGTGGCGGCGGCGGATGCGGCGGAGGATGTGGCGGCTGCGGCGGTTGTGGCGGGTAAAACTTTTTTCCGCCGGTGGAAGTCTCGTTTGTACAAATGTCGATGTAATAATTAACCAAAAAAAAGTGTCGATGTGTAATAATTTTATAAAAATACTCTTCTTTTTTTTTTTTCCGTCGAATCTTGGTGTTGTCGCGTGCGTTGGATCCTTTCTTTGTAACGGTGGTGTAATATATATATATATATATATATATATATATATATATATGCTAAATAATAACAAAAATCAATCAAATTATCTTTCAAAGTAACTATATCTATATATTAATTAAAAGTCAAACCCTGAACTTTTTATGAACCTACAGATTGCAACAACAGAAAGCCCGTGAAATTCATTAAACCGAATACAATTCATCTATAGTAAACGCGTGCATATACATATACATATATATATATATGAAGCGGCCGTATTTGTCATACCGTGCATATGTCATGCATGCGTACGTATATATAGGGCTGTACCACAAATTTTAGGGCATAAACATCTTACAAAATTTTTATCAGTTAATTTATATAATAAATTTGAGTTAATGATATATTATTAATATTTTAAATTATTTAAAAGAAGGGGTCAGGGCATGCCCTCTCTCTCTATGTATATATGTAAGGTTTACATAGCGATAAAAGTCACCGAAGCAGCGACGATAAGAACATTCAGAAAACGCAAAAATGGCGAGAGGATACGCAACAAGTGATTGGGGAGAAAATCATCATCTCTGGCCCCATGAATTCTTCTCCGGTGGGGTTTTCTGGGTTTGTATGATCTTATCGTCTCTTTCAATCATCTCAACGGTCATTTTCGCTTGCGGCCATGGGTCCACAAAGGGTTCGCGCCGGAGAAGCTACGACGGCGGCGGTTGCGGCGGAGGCGGTGGATGCGGCGGTGACTGACGTGGGTGATTTCCGTGTGTAATTTTTTGTTTTCATACATCACGAAGGTGTGAATTTGATGTGTTTGTGAATACATTATTATTTATAATAATAATTTTTGGGAGCAAGTTATTTTATTTTTTTATCGCAGTTGTAACATTCTCTTATTGTATTGCAATATATTTATGCCTTTTCCCCCCCCTTAATTACACGTCTAATTTGTTTTTTTAGCTTTGCAGCAATATCTTAATTAGTTTATTATCTGTGTAAAGACATAACTCAGGATTCTTAATATACAATTAGTCTTATTACAAATACATTATTAACTCGTAGACGTCCAGTATAAATATGTTTATATGTATTTAAAAACGAAAATATTATTATAATATTTTACATGTTTATTTACATTTAACCCAAAAAAAAATATTTTACATGTAGAAATATAAAATTAATAAATCAAATATTAAAAACGGGTCAAAAAACATCAAATATTGGCCCATTAATATCTTGGACCAGACCAAGAAGTAGAAACCCTAAAATAGCCCACTAAGTATCTCCTCCCTTAAACCCCTAGTCACCGATAACCCTCTTCTCTCGCCCTAACGCTCTCTACTCCATGACTGACGCAGCATCGCCGCCGCCACAGCCACCGCTGTCGAGGGTGAGCCCCAAGACGGTGGATAACGCCGTTAAAGCCCTTCTCAAATGGAGGGAGGAGAAATCGAAGAACGAGAAGCCGCAGCTTCTCGAGCAGGACGAGTTCGTCTACTTGATCGTTACCCTGAAGAAGATTCCGCAGACGAGCCGCACGAATCCTCACCGGATCCGTGTTCCTCACCCCCTCGTCAACCTGTGTGAAGATTCGCCGGAGTTCTGTCTCATCATCGATGACCGACCCAAAAGCGGTCTCGTCAAGGAAGACGTGATGAAGAAGATCAAAGCAGATGACATACCCATCAGTAAGGTTATCAAGCTCTCGAAGCTGAAGACTGATTACCGCCCGTACGAAGCGAAACGGAAGCTCTGCGATTCGTACGACATGTTTTTCGCCGACAGGAGGGTGATTCCGCTGTTGCCGAGGTTGCTGGGGAAGAAGTTCTTCAAGAGCAAGAAGATTCCGGTGCCAGTCGATCTGAAGCACAAGAACTGGAAGGAGCAGATGGAGAAGGCGTGTGGATCTGCTATGTTCTTCATGAGGACCGGGACCTGCAGCGTCGTCAAGGTGGGAAAATTGTCCATGGAGAGCGATGAAATCGCTGATAACGTGATGGCGACTGTGAACGGAGTCGCTGAGATTGTGCCCAGTAAGTGGAAAAGCATTAGGTCCATTCATTTGAAGCTGTCTGAGAGTTTAGCATTGCCTATGTATCAATCGGTGCCTGATTTGAAGCTCAAAATCGATGCTTCTTGGGATGGAAAGGGTGTTGAGGAAAGGAGTGGCGGTGAAGAATTAGCCAAGAGTGATACTGATGATACCAAGAGTAACGAAGAGGGTGCCTCTGCTGCTAAGCCGAAGAAGAAGAAAGGAATGATACATGAGGTTCGGTATATGGATGGCAATGATATTGCTGGTGATGAGAAGAGGAGGAAGATCGGTAAGGCAGGGGAGAGTGAAAAGCCGGTCAAGAAGGTGGTACAGAAGAAGAAAGTGGACGATGTGAATCGGAAAGTGAAGAGCAGAGATGGGTTAAAGCCAAAGAATCGGAAGAAGGAGGGAGAAGAGTCAGGTGGCAGATTGAAGGAGAAGGCAAAGAAGAAGATGAAGAAGAGTGCTGTGAGAAACTGAGGAAAGAAGATGATAGAAGGGAAGCCACCCATGGCGGTTGGTATAAACTTATTTGATGATTTCTCTTCTTTCGTCTGAGTAATTTTTGGTAATGATTATGATGTTTTGTTACTTTTTTTAAGACATTGATTTCTTGAATCCTCTTCTGTCTGAAAAATCAAAACCAGTTGCTTCTCATGTGATGGTTGTGGTTGGGTTTTGATGGAGTTTTAGAAGAATGAAGAAACATGTTCACATGTTTTTCATTTGCACTTGTTAGAGTATTCTATTATTCGGCCATGTAAAACCCCTGGAAAAAAACCTATAACTTGCAAAAATATATACAAATAAACCTTGAATTTGAAAAATTATTATTCAATCCCCGAACTTGTAACTTGTCACTGCCTCGAACTTGCAAAATTTAGGTATTCACATATTGCTGATATCACCTTATACATGTTATCAATTTTAGTTTAAAAAATGACATCAGCAATCCGTCAAACGTAGTTTTTCGATCGTTTGAAATTGTGGTCAAACCGGTCAAAGGTTTATTAGAACAATAATTTGCAAGTTCGAAGTTTTATTCAGTGACAAGTTACAAGTTCGGAGATTGAATGATAGTTTTTCCGGTTTATTTGTATATATTTTTACAAGTTGGAAGTTTTTTTAGAGGTTTTACCCTTATAAAAAATAGAGAATACCCCTATTTTACTACTTTTGACTTCAACATATACTTTTATCCACACACATCTCCCGTCAACTATTCAGATTGTTTTATATGGGAACATTATTCAAAATATCCTTCTTTGCTAAAAATATTTTTGTATATATCTTTTTCTAAATGTGACCATGTGATATAAATATCTGTATGGTCACATGATGATCACATTGATCATAACGTTAAATTTATAGTGATCATATCAAATCATTATAGTCACATCTTATACATCATACTAATCACTTGGTGAAATCATCGTAAATTTAACGTTGTGACCAATATGACCATAATGTGATCATATAGTTATTTATATAATCACACAACACAAATAGTTTTTTTAGTAAAAGGAGGATATTTTAGATATTTTACATATTTTTTTTTATGTCGACAAGTGTTCACAGAGGAAACCGAAAAAGAAGAGATTCGGGCCCAAATATTAGGCCCATTTAAGGAGGAAAACCCAAAATGAAGATATACCTTCGATGGTGGTCGGGAACAGCTCCGGCGAATCATTTCGTTGGTCTCTGCCGTCAATCGCCGGTGGTTTGGACTTTCACTGATTTACGGAGGTTCTCATGGTACTTGTCTCTACTTAAGTTTTCTCCTTGTCTCTTGATCCTTTGCTGTTCCTGGGATCGGCGCTTCTGCGGGACCGGAGAGCTATGGCTATGATCGATGTCGCCATATCTTGCCTCGATTCGATCCGCCAAGTACAACTCCAATTTCTATAAATTTCTTCTTTATCTGCAATTTCGTGCAGTTTTCTTCAATAGTTAGGTTTTTTTTTTCTTGTTTCACCGCATCTGTTATTATACTGGGACCTAGGCTTTTCCGGTCATCAGTGGTTTCTCTGCAATGTGATTTTGCTTTAAGTTTCCTGTAAATCGATTCGAAAGTAGCTGGCACGGAACAACTTTGTCTTGGATAAACCGGCAATGGAAAAACATCATCTGTTAACTCTAACAACTTTCGAGTGGAATGGGGAAGAACTTTTTGTGTTGAAATCTTGAGTTCCCCCGTTATATTGCAGATATCAGAGGATATTCAAGATGCCATTGTGTATATCGATGCCGGGTGCACAGAAAGTTTCCAATTTGTTGGAGCATTCCCTTTGTTCTTGGAATTGGGAGCTCGGTCAATCTGCAGCCTTGAAAACGTGAATCCTCTTGATGCGGTAAGCTGGTTTTGATGTGATTACTTTGTGCACAACGTTTTTTATACCGAGAAACTTGGTAGACCTAATTGGAGCTCCTAAGTTGTTATGATGATCAACTGAAAGAGACAGGCAAGTTACTATTACCGCTGAATTCTGAATTGCATCGACATGATCGTATCTCATTTCCTTTATTTCGGTAATAGAAAAGTGTACTAGTCTTTGGGATGAGAGAGTTGGAGAATATTCCTTGCAGATGTTCGCAAATTCAAACCTGAATTCTTAAGGGACATTATCTTCAGTTATGTCTTCCCTAGGTTGTACTTTACAGTGTATGATTCTGTTTTATTGCCTAAAATCCCCGCATGCCATGCCCAACCATACATTCGATATCATACTTTGGTGATAAGGGAATATGTTTTACCCGAAAAAGAGTTATCTTACTTTTTTCATTGTCTTGTTAGTGCATAATCTGATTTTTTTTGAAGGTAGTGAATTTTGATGTCTATCGCTATAGGTGGCTGGTTGGAGTTCAGAGAGTGATAGTGCAAAGAAAATCATGGTCATGACGTCTCAACTTCTCAATGATGCCCATCGATATACACTACGGTGTCTAATTTCACACCAAGGTGTTCGCCACTGTGCAATATTTACATCAATCGCTGAGGTGCCTATCCTACTTGCTATTATTGACTTCCTTTCATCTTTCTCTCCCTTCTCTCTTTTGTGGGCTGGAGGGAGAGGATGAGGGACATTTTGTTGGACACTTCTTTTCGGTTTGAAAATACGCATAAGTTATCTGGCTTATCATCACAAATCATTGTTATATTTATATCATATTCGAAGTGGCAGTCAAAGGTTCATTCATTTGATTGACACGCTTCAAGTCTGTATTGGTATTGACATGATATGTTTTGAGAAGATTAGTGTTGTTATCATCTTTTGAACTTCTTATGTGTACTGTGGTGTATTCCTCTATTGACTGAATATTCTGTTCATGATTCCTAGGTCTTGTGTTTTTGTTATGACAACACATTACTTATACCCCGAGAATGAGTTACTCGTGTTCCCGTTCATGTACTTAGTGTTTTATTGTATAATCTAATTTAATGGAACCAAACCTGCAGGGAGCTCACTCAGCATGCCCTGATTCACCTCTGGGTCCAGATGCATATCGAGAGTATGAGGCGTTACTTGTGCAGGATTATAATGAACATATCAAGAAAAGCAAGATAACATCTGAAGACAAAGGACAATTAAAGTTCTCATCTTTACTTGATCCTCTGACCCTTGATTCTGATTCTAGTGAAAACAAAGATAATCCATTAGGTGGGGCGGAAGATTATGGACAAAAGTTGGTGGTCTCGGTCTGTCACTTCCCCATGGTTATTTGCCCGTTTTCCCCTAGAGTGTTTGTCTTGCCTTCCCAGGGTTCAGTCGCAGAAGCATCCTTGTCCAATCAACACGAGGATTCTCTTAGTTATGGTCTGCCTTCCATAAGTACCGGATCTTTGTCCGATACTGACGATGTTCCCCCTGGGGCAACTCTTACAGCACATTTTCTTTACCATCTGGCTCTGAAGGTAAATGCACAATTCCTGTTTTGCATGAATGAAAAATTTTGACATCTTTGTTCATTTTCTGATATTGTTTTCAAAATAATATTAGATGGACTTGAAGTTGGAAATCTTTTCACTTGGGGAGCTATCGAAGAGTATTGGGAAGATCATGACAGATATGTCAAGTCTTTATGATGTAGGGCGCCGCAAGAGATCTGCTGGCTTGTTACTCATCGACCGGACGCTTGATCTTATCACTCCCTGCTGCCATGGGGATTCACTAGTCGATCGTATATTTTCATCTTTGCCACGGGCGGAACGAGTATCACCCCATGCCAACATACGAAGTTCACAAGCGCAGCTTAAGCAAGGGCCTCCTAGCATAGAACGTCCTTCTATCGATGTTAAAGTACCACTCGGGGAAATATTAAACGAAGAAGACTGCAAGATCCAGGATTCTCGCCTTCCTGAAGGAGTTGAAGCTTTTCTACGTGGCTGGGATTCGTATATTTCCCCCGTGCAAGATGTAGATCCGCTTAACAGCGGTGGTAAAGTTCGTGATGAGAAGGCTAACTCTCTCTGGTCTGAATTGCTGAACGGTTCCCTTGTTGCGACCGAATGTTTTAGGGGAACACCTTACCTTGAAGCCATGCTCGACAGAAAAGCGAAAGACGGAGCTGTTTTGGTGAAGAAATGGCTTCAGGAGGCAATGCGTCGTGAGAATATCGCTGTTAATGTGAGATCTCGACCTGGTTATGCTACAAAGTCGGAGCTTCACACCATGATTAAAGCATTGGCCAAAAGCCAGTCGTCTCTGCTGAGAAATAAAGGTATTATTCAGTTAGCAGCAGCTACTACCTTCGCCCTCGATGAATCCCGAGCCGCCAGGTGGGATGGTTTTAGCAGCGCGGAGAAAATGTTACGTGTCAGCGCCGGCGACACAAGTCAGAGTTTGGCTGCTCAAATCAGTGATCTTATCAATAAAAGCGCCTTGGCAGAAATGCAAAGAAATAAGGATGAGAAATCGGATTCCATGTCGGGAGGGTTGCTATCTTTCCGAGATGCCCTTCTTCTTACAGTCGTTGGATACATCCTGGCTGGTGAGAATTTCCCGACATCTGGTTCAGGCGGTCCGTTCTCTTGGCAAGAGGAGCATTTTCTTAAAGAAGCTATCGTTGATGCCGTTCTTGAAAATCCATCTGCAGCAGCAAAGCTAAAGTTTCTCGATGGTTTGACAGAAGAGCTCGAGGGCAGATTGAACCATCTAAAGTCCGAGGAAACCAAAGAAGAAACAGCTTCTGATCAATTAGATATCGACGCTCT